GATTGACAGGACATCAGGCTGATTGATTGACAGGACATCAGGCTGATTGATTGACAGGACATCAGTCTGATCGATTGACAGGACATCTGGCTGATTGATTGACAGGACATCTGGCTGATTGATTGACAGGACAGATGATCAGAGGAGCTGAGTTTTTACCTCCATCATTAGGACAAGGACTGAAGAACGGGTAGAGTTGTTGAGAGAAGCAGCAATCAGTAAAGGAGAAGATCAGAGCTGCAGCATCAACATCATAAAAGGAGACCAGACCCTCCTCATAATCCACAAACACCCCCACCTTCTCAGGACCAGACTGGAGACTCAGATGGACTGAAGGATTGGTGTTCGCTTCGTACTCATTTCCATTTATCAACCAAACAGTCCAGAAACCATCTTCAGGACTCAGTGTGATGAATCCCTTCCTGTTGATGGACTCTCGGGCCACTCCTAAAATCCACTCAGTTTTTCCTTTAACCTGAACCTCAAAGTAAAATCTGCCTGAAGAGAAACTCTGAGTCCCTAAAACAGAAACACCATAAGAAAATCTCTCTGGATTGTTTGGAAGATTCTTCTCCACATCACCACAGTGAACTTGTTTTCCATCATCAGACAGGATGAGTTTAGGATGTGCAGTTTTAGGATCCAGAGTCAGATCCACCTCAGACTTCTGGACTCTCTTCAGCTCAGCCTCAAACAGCTTCTTCATCTTCTCCCTGAGGTTCTGCTCCAGCTGAGCCACAGCTCTCACCACAGTCCCCTAATATGATGGAGGATGGACTCTGACCTGGGTCCAGTTCTTGGTGGGTGGAGCAGCTTTCAGGGACCTGAAGCTCTGGAGGAGGTGGAGGTGGTCTTCAGAGCATGAGAGCTGCTTCACCTTAGAGCTCCTCTTCATCAGCTCAGAGATCTCCTGTTCCAGATGTTTGATGAAGTCTTGAGCCTGTTTCTCTGTAGTTTTCTGTTTGTCTTCGATCTCCTTCATGAAGCTCTTCTTGTTCCTCTCAACAGAGTCCATCAGATCAGTGAAGACCTGAAGACCTTCAGCTTTCTCTCTGTCTGCAGCATCTTTACTGGTCTTCACCGACTCTCTGAGCTCCTGGATCTTCAGACGTCTGTTCTGGATCATCTGCTGAACTTCAGCCTCTGTGTTCCTCAGCTCTGCCTTCTTTCCTTCATATTCTTCTCTCAGAGGAACAAGCTCATGAGTCTTGTGGTCCAAAACAGAGCAGAGCATGCAGACACATGTCTGGTCGTTCTTACAGAACAGCTGCAGAGGTTGATCGTGCTTCGAACACATCCTGTCCTCCAGGTTCTCCACAGGATCCACCAGCTGGTGTCTGCTCAGACGTGCAGCTGTCAGGTGAGGCTCCAGGTGAGTCTGACAGTAGGAGGCCAGACACACCAGGCAGGACTTCAGGGCCTTCAGTCTGGGTCCAGAGCAGACGTCACAGGGAACTTCTCCTGGTTCTGCAGCTTGTTGCTCTGAGCTGCTGCTGGTTTTCTGCTGAGCTTCATGTCTGAACTGAGCGACCACCTCCTTGATGAAGGTGTTGACTCTGAGCTGAGGCCTCGTGGAGAACTGCTCTTTACACAGAGGACAGTTGTAGAGAACGTTACCGTCCCAGTGTTGGCTGATGCAGGTTTTACAGAAGTTGTGTCCACATGGTGTGCTGACCGGATCAGTGAACAGGTCCAGACAGATGGAGCACAGGAACTGCTCCTCAGACCTCAGGTTGCTGCCAGCAGACATGTCTGAACTCTGAGGGTCAAAGAATCAACAACAGGTTCAAAAGTCATCGTTGTTGAATCCTTCACTTCAACTAAACCCTGAAGTTTCATCGTCTGAACGCTGAGGCAGACTGTTGCTTCACTCACTTTTAGTTTATTTTATTACACATTTTCTGTTGCTTTGAATCTGTTTCTCCAAACTCTGCTTGTTTTAGCTGCAACATCTCAGCTTCTTCAACGCTCCTACAAGAACCCTGCAGATGTTGGATGCTGTCTATCATGGTGCACTAAGATTCATAACTGGCTGTGATTATCGTACCCACCACTGCACCCAGTATTCACTGGTTAACTGGACATCATTAACTTCACGCAGACTCTCTCACTGGTACATTTTCATCTTTAAATCACTTCTTGGTCTGCTGCCTTCATACATCTCCTCCTACATGTCTCTGCGTGAGTGCAGCTACGGAGTGCGCTCTCAGGACATTATTACCTGCAGTGTTCCCTCAGTGAGGACTGAACTAGGCAAAAGGACCTTCTCCTACTCCGCTCCTGTTTCCTGGAATATCTTACAAAAAGATCTGAAGCTCTCGACCTTGACCTCTCTAAGTGGCTTTAAGAATCTGTTGGACTCCTGGCAGGGACCAATGCAGACATGTTCCTGTTTTTAGTTTTATACATTTGTCTCGGAATCTAGCAGTTTTTTTGGTTTTGTTACCTTTTTCCTTTTAGCCATCCTATTTGTTAAAAAAAACAAACAAAAAAAAAAAAACTGTAGTATGAGTTTTTATAACTGCTTATTGTTGTTGCTGTTGTCCATTGTTGTCATCTTTCTTTGTTGAAATCAGGTCTCTCTTGTAAATGAGTCCTCGAGGCTCAATGGGATTTACCTGTATAAATAAAGGTTGAATGATTTCAGTGAAGTCCTTCAGTCCTCAGAGTCCACTGTTCTTACAGGAAATGTCTTTTATTTAGCTTCGTGTCGAGTTTCCTTCATGAAGCTCTGAGTTTGTGTTAAAACTTCCTGTAGAAACTAAAAAATAATCTGAACTCACCTGGATTAAAATCTGATGTTAGGAAAGAACAGATGAACCCAGGAAGGTTTTCTTCAGACAAACTGATGTTTGTTTCAGCTGCAGCTCTGAACTCACAGAGAAACTTTAACTTTTGCTTCCTGAATGTGACGTCACAACTGGTTGATCCAGTTTTGTTTCACATTCCTGCAGGTACGTGTTGTTCACACTAAATTAAATTACACATCTGACATAAAACCAGTTTACACAAGTTGTTTAGAGACTTACCTTAACGTGGTGGAGGGGTTTGAGTGTCCCAATGATCCTAGGAGCTATGCTGTCAGGGGCTTTACGCCCCTAGTAGGGTCACCCAAGGCAGATAGGTCCTAGGTGATGGACCAGACAAAGTGCAGCCCAAAACACCCCTATGATGAGAAAAAGAAATGTACCTAGTGTTCCCTTGCCCGGACGTGGATCAACGGGGCCCCACTCTGGAGCCAGACCTGGAGGTTGGGCACGCTGGCAAGCGCCTGGTGGCCAGGCTTTTACCCATGGAGCTCGGCCGGGCACAGCCTGAAGAGGAGACATGGGTCCCCCTTCCCATGGGCTCACCTCCTGTGGGAGGGGCCAAAGGGGTCGGGTGGGATGGGTGGTGGCCGAGGGCGGGGACCCTGGCGGTCTGATCCTCGGCTACAGAAGCTGGCTATTGGGACGTGGAATGTCACCTCACTGGTGGGGAAGGAGCCTGAGCTGGTGTGTGAGGCTGAGAGGTTCCGGCTAGAAATAGTCGGACTCACCTCTACGCATGGCTCGGGCTCTGGAACCAGTTTCCTTGAGAGGGGCTGGACACTCTTCCACTCTGGAGTTGCCCCTGGTGTGAGGCGCCTAGCAGGAGTGGGCATACTTATTGCCCCCATATCTTGGTGCCTGTGTGTTGGGGTTCACCCCGGTGAATGAGAGGGCGGCCTCCCTCCACCTACGTGTGGGGGGACGGATTCTGACTGTCGTTTGTGCTTATGCACCAAATGGCAGTTCAGATTACCCACCCTTTTTGGAGTCCTTGGTGGGGGTACTGGAAAGTGCACCTCCTGGGGACTCCCTTGTTCTGCTGGGGGACTTCATTGCTCACGTGGGCAATGACAGTGAGACCTGGAGGGGTGTGGTTGGGAGGAACAGCCCCCCTGATCTGAACCCGAGTGGTGTTCTGTTGTTGGACTTCTGTGCTCATCATGGATTGTCCATAACGAACACCATGTTCAAGCATAAGGGTGTCCACATGTGCTCTTGGCACCAGGACACCCTAGGCCGCGGTTCAATGATTGACTTTGTCATCATCTCATCTGATCTGCGGCCACATATCTTGGACACTAGGGTGAAGAGAGGGGCGGAGCTGTCCACTGATCACTACCTGGTGGTGAGTTGGCTCCGATGGTGGGGTAGGATGCCGGTCAGACCTGGCAGGCCCAAACGTATTGGGAGGGTTTGCTGGGAACGTCTGGCAGTCTCTCCTGTGAGATGGAGCTGTAACTCCCATCTCCGGGAGAACTTCGAACATGTTCCAGGGGAGGTGGGGGACGTTGAGTCTGAGTGGGCCATGTTCCGTGCCTCTATTGTCGAGGCGGCTTACCAGAGCTGTGGCCACAAAGTAGTTGGTGCCTGTCGCAATGGCAACCCTCGAACCCGGTGGTGGAAACCGGCGGTGAGGGATGCTGTTAGGCTGAAGAAGGAGTCTTATAGGGCCTTTTTGGCCTGTGGGACCCCGGAAGCAGCTGATGGGTACCGGCAGTCCAAGCGACATGCGATTCGGGTGGTCGCTGAGGCAAAAACTCGGGCATGGGAGGAGTTCGGCGGAGCCATGGAGAATGACTTCCGCACGGCTTCGAGGCGATTCTGGTCCACCATCCGGCATCTCAGGGGGGAAGCGGTATACCACTAACACTGTTTATAGTTGGGGTGGTGTGCTGCGGACCTCAACTTGGGATGTAGTGGGTCGGTGGGCAGAATACTTCGAAGACCTCCTCAATCCCAACGGTATGTCTTCCACTGAGGAAGCGGAGCCTGGGGATTCTGGTTCGGGCCCTCCAATCTCTGGTGCTGAGGTCACCGAGGTGGTTCAAAAGCTCCTCGGTGGCAGGGCCCCAGGGATGGATGAGATTTGCCCGGAGTTCCTTAGGGCTCTGGATGTTGTAGGGTTGTGTTGGCTTACGCGACTCTGCAATATTGCGTGGACATCGGGGGAAGTTCCCCTGGATTGGCAAACCGGGGTGGTGGTCCCCCTATTCAAAAAGGGGGACCGTAGAGTGTGTTCCAACTACAGGGGGATCACGCTCTTAAGCCTCCCTGGTAAGATCTATTCAAACCTCGGATTCAGGAGGAGCAGTGCAGTTTTCATCCTGGTTGTGGAACACTGGACCAGTTCTACACTCTCAGGAGGGTCCTGGAGGGTGCGTGGGAGTTTGCCCAACTGGTCTACATGTGCTTTGTGGACTTGGAGAAGTTGTTCGACCGTGTCCCTCGGGGAACCCTGTGGGGGGAACTCTGGGAGTATGGTGTACCAGGCCCTTTGATATGGGCTGTTAGGTCCCAGTATGACTGGTGTCAGAGCCTGGTCTGCATTGCCGGCAGTAAGTCGGGCTTGTTCCCTGTGAGAGTTGGACTCCGCCAAGGTTGCCCTTTGTCACCGATTCTGTTCATAACTTTTATGGACAGAATTTCTAGGTGTAGGCAAGGTGTTGAGGGGATCCATTTTGGTGGCCTTAGGATTGCGTCTCTGCTTTTTGCAGATGATGTGGTCCTATTGGCTTCATCAAATTGTGAGCTACAGCTTTCGCTGGAGCAGTTCGTAGCCGAGTGCGACACAGCCGGGATGAGGATAAGTTCCTACAAATCCGAGGCCATGGTCTTGAGCCGGAAAAAGGTAGAGTGCCCTCTCTGGGTCAGGGAGGAGGTCCTGCCCCAAGTGGAGGAGTTCAAGTATCTTGGGGTTTTGTTCACGAATGAGGGAAACACGGAGCGTGAGATCGATAGATGGATAGTGCAGCGTCTGCAGTGAAGCGGGTGCTGTACAGGTCTGTCGTGGTGAAGAGAGAGCTGAGTCAAAAGGCAAAGCTCTCAATTTACCGACTGATCTACGTTCCTACCCTCATCTATGGTCATGAGCTTTGGGTTGTGACCGAAAGAACAAGATCTCGGATACAAGCGCCCAAAATGAGTTTTCTCCGCAGGGTGTCTGGGCTCTCCCTTAGAGATAAGGTGAGAAGCTCGATCATCCAGGAGGGACTCAGAGTAGAGCCGCTGCTTCTACGCGTCGAGAGGAGCCAGTTGAGGTGGCTCGGGCATCTGGTTAGGATGCCTCCTGGACGCCTCCCTGGTGAGGTGTTCCAGACACGTCCCACCAGGAGGAGACCCAGAAGAAGACCCAGGACACGCTGGAGGGACTATGTTTCTCGGCTGGCCTGGGAACGCCTCGGGATTCCCCCGGAGGAGCTGGCCCCAGTGACTGGGGAGAGGGAAGTCTGGGCCTCCCCACTTAAGCTGCTACCCCGTGATCCGACCCCAGATAAGCGGAAGAAAATGGATGGATGGATGGATGGATTCCTTTAGTTTAGATCAGTTTTATCTGTTTAATTTTTTTTGTGGCTGTTACAGGGGTCTCCACAGTGAGTCCTCCTTCATCTGACTCTGTCTTCTGTGTCCTCTGTCCTCACTTCAACTACCTCCATGTCCTCTCTAACTGCATCCATATGTCTCCTCTTTGTCTTTTTCCTGGCAGCTGCATTTCTAACATCATTCTACCAATATACACACTGACTCTCCTCTGGACATGTCCAAACCACTGTCCCTCCTCTGGACATGTCCAAACCACTGTCCTTCCTCTGGACATGTCCAAACCACTGTCCCTCCTCTGGACATGTCCAAACCATCTTAGTGAGTCCTCTCTAACTTTATCTCCCAGTTATTCAACCTGTGCTGTACCTCTGATGATCTTATTCCTGATCTTCTCCATCCTTGTCACTCCTAAGGAGAACCTCAACATCTTCATTTCTTTCACTTCCAGTTCTGTCTCCTGTCTTTTTGTCCATGTCTCTGTCTCCAGACCATACAACATAACTGTTCTCACCACTGTCTTGTAAACTTTTCCTTTGACCTTTGCCAACACCCTTTTGTCACAAATCACTCCTGAGACTTTTCTCCATCACTCCATCCTGCCTGGAATCACTTCTTCACCTCTTAACCACACTCCCCATTTTCCTGGACAGTGGACCCCAAGTCTTTGAAGTCCTGCACCTTTGTGACCTCTGCTCCTTGTAGCCTCACTGTTCCACCTCCTCCCTCTCATTCAAACACATGGACTCTGTCTTACTATGGCTGACTTTCATTCCTCTTCTGTCAAGTGCATACCTCCACCTCTCCAAGTTCTCTTCCACCTGTTCCCTGTTCTCACCACAGAACACAATGTCATCTGCAAACATTGTCCACGAGGATTCCTGCCTGACCTCATCTGTTGGTCGGTCCATCACCAGAGCAAACAAGAAGGGGCTCAGAGCCGATCCTTGATGCACTCCAACCTCCACCTTGAAACTATCCGTCACTCCTACAGCACATCTCACCACTGTCCTCATACATGTCCTGCTGTCCTCATACATGTCCTGTACCAGTCTCCAGACTTTAGGCTCTATGACTGATGTCACAGCTGATGTAACAATCCCATTTAGCATCTTTGAATTTTCTTGCAGTCCCACCTTAGTTTGTTCATGTCCATGGGTCGTGTGTCCCCGTCCTGTTTTAAGTTAAATTCCAGTTTCATTTTAAAGTTTCACTGAAGTTTTAATGAGACGCATCATAAGGATGCTCTAAAGGCGTCTCATATCGATTGTCTTTTCCATCACAGCTGAACAGCTTCAGATCACACCCGTCTGTAATTTCTCTCTAGAGAAAGTGTGCGCCTAAAAACAAACAACAACAAACCGTGCTCTTATTGTGGAGGAGGCGGCGCCGCCGTCACCTGATCACCGTAAATCACCTGCAGAGCAGATTCCTCAGGTCTGTCAGGGCCTGACGCCGAGTAGAGAGCAGGATGTGACCGGCAGCGGCACGAGCTGGTTAAGGCAGCAGATTGGTGAAAGTGGACGGATCGATGTGCACGTGGCCTGGACATGGAGCCGAGCGCTCAGAGAGGGACACGTAATTACTGCACAGATGAAGGAAAAGAAAACAGGGTCTCTAATAATCTGTCGTTCTTTCAACAGATTTTCTGTTTTAGTTTGCTCTGAAGTTTGAAACGGCTCCGCGCTCTGCACCTCTGATCCAACAAGACAAGTACCGTACGTTAAAGATGAGTCAAAAAATGAAACGTTAGCCTGAGCTTCATCAGACGGTGCAGTTTAAAGTGTTCACTCCGGTAGTTTTCTACATATGTCGGTTTAAACTTCTGAACTGCAGGTACACACTGGACGTAAACGAACCAAACTGATGGTTGGGTCACATGACTGACCTACATTAGGCTGTTTGTGAGTGGCTCGTATGTTTAACCTGTTTTCAGTCACTTCGGCTGTTTCTGTAGGTAAACAAATGTATGTTGTGTTCGA